CCCCTCAACCTCGCCTCAGTCCCCACAACCTCTCCTCAGTCCCCTCAACCTCGCCTCAGTCCCCTCAACCTCTCCTTAGCCCCTGCAACCTCTCCGCAACATCAGTTTCTCCCTTCTTCTCACCACTGTGGCCCAGTCAGGGGGAGCATGACAAGCCTCCATCCCCAAGAGAGAACCATCAGGGGCTGGAGAGCCTGGGGTGCTTTCTGCCAGTGAGAAAAGGCGCCCCTCCTCTGTGCAGGGACACACCTGGCCTTGATCCCTACCTGCCCTGCTGGGCCCGTGCTGGCCTCATGCCCGCCTGCATGGCTCCCCTGACTGTAAGGGGAGGCTCCCCAAATACGGTGAGTGGGACCCCAGGCCTGAATGCTCTCTCTCCCCAAGGGAGGGGTACCCGTCTCCTGGCCCCACCCCCACACCACCACCGAGTTTGCACCTTGTCCCCCCCGGGCTGGCTGGGCCTCTGCGCCCCACAGCAATGGTGAGGAGAGGATGGTTTCCCATGTCCCACCTCAGGGCGTCCCCAGGACTCAGGCCACGGGGCTCTGCCCCCACCCCTCCCCTCTGGTTCCGGGAGTCCTGGGCTGCTCCCCTCCCCGGCAGGTCACCCCTTTGCCTTCAGCTCCTGGGGCTGCTTCTCAGGGCTCCCTCCTTGTCTCTCTCTCCCACAGCTTTTATGACCAGACCCCTGTCCCTTCCTGTAGATCAAACATTCTCTTTCCTCCCCCTTTTTAAAAGAGCAGCCTCTGGGCGCCTGACACTACCCGGAGCTGCGCCCTGAGCTCCTCACACAGGTATGTGGAGACAGGCCCCGTCTTGCTCTGGGAAGGAAGGTTTTCTTCCATTTGCTCCTTTCAAAAACCACCAGCACCCCCTCCCCTTGCCTGTAATATTCCACCCAGCTCCTTCCCAAGGCCCCTCCGGCCCAGCCACTTCTAGAAGGTTGTCAGGCAATCCCTGCTCCCCTCCAGCCCCTTTAGGACAGGATTCTTATTTTTTTCTTTTTGCAAGACAACAGAGTCTGGGGGAAATGCCTTAATCTTTTGATCATGACTATGAAGCTGGGTGCTTGATCCGCCTCTTCCTTCTCCCATTTCCAAAGCAAACAAGCCGGCTGCTTAGTGGGCTGTAATTAAGCCAGTCATCACTGGTGACTTGCCCTATCTCCCATCAAGAGCACAGCTCTGTCCAAACAGCAGGGAGAAGGCCGGCCCCACCCAGGCCCTCCTGTCCAGAAACCCCAGCTCAAGGCGGGCTGGGCAGAGGGGCGCGGCCTCGAGTTGGGGGTGGCATCCCCACACCTGTGCCCACTTTGTAACTGAGCCCGGGGGCCCCGGGAAAGGCCATAGCAGGGGACGGAGACAAGGGGGAGCCCTGGGACACTAAGGGGAGTGGGAGGAAGAACGGTAAAAACACATCCACAGAGAACGGGAGGAATAAGCACTTACACGAAAGGAACAGAGAAGACCGGCTTGAGGGGAGGCTGCTGGTCCTGTGGGGGCTCAAGGCATAGCAGGTGGGGTGAGCCGGAGGCGGGAGGCCTGGAGACTGGGCCTGGACAGAGCGTCCCAGCTTCCGCGAGAGGCATTTCCAGGCAGCCCAGCCAGGGCGCAGGGATGAGTTAGCTGCTGGCTAATTGCTGTGTATGAGTAGGCAGGGGCGGAAGGCAGCGAGTGGAGCTCCCGCCTGAATGCTCCCTCTCCCCAGGGAGGGCACCGGTCTCCAGGCTTCTACCTGCCACAGACCTAAGGGGACGCTCGGCCCTGCCACCAGGGTCGGACACGGGCCGAGAGCGCAGCCCAGCTCCCTTCAAAAGGCCTGTCCAGCGTCCCTTGTGGAGAAGGAAGCCTGGAGACCAAGTCCCCTCACTCCAGTGCCATGGGCAAGCAGGACTCCAGGTGTGACCGCCAGGTGCAACATGCGGAAGGCGGGCTCAGGAGACGGGTGTGAAATGGGCCTGCAGGCCCGGGTGGGGGCAATGTGCTGACCACAGGGTGTCTGCAGCGGGAGCAGTGGGCAGCTGGAACTGGTCCACACTGGCCCCCAGTTACGGGAAAAGCAAGGGGAACAGATGGAGAAAGCACAGGAACTGATGTAGCTGAGTCACGAGGGCTGAGTGACCAGCCTGGACACCCGCGGCAAGGCCTGGGCCCTCCGGTGGGGACAGCCTGGCCTGCTGCTGCACTTGGAGCTCCAGCAAGGAGGATCCGGACCCGCTGAGAGTCCACCTCAGGGTGGGCGGAAGGGGAACAAGTCCCTTGAAGAGCGACTGGCGGCTGTGTCGGGCGTGGCGTGGGTGTGGGGGTTGGGGGGTGGGGGGGCAGGGCAGCAGACGTGGTCTGCAGGAGAAGAGACCCCCCACCTCTGGTAGAGACCCCCACCTCAGAGACGCCCCCATCCCTAGTGGTGCAGGGATTATGTGCCAAGCATGAGCGTAAGGGTCGAGGGACAGTGCCATAAGCAAATGGCCTGCAAGAAACTGTCACCTCGTGGGTGGAGAAGTGGTGGAGGTCCTGGAAGAGACATCTGTGACAGATGGCACGGGCACCCCAAACCTCAGAGCAACTGCCAAACGTGGCCAAAAAGTCTTTAAGACTCTCCATGCCTCCCCCGCCCGGGGCCGGCTCCCCGCCCCCCGAAGCCGGCTCCCCGCCCCCCGAAGCCTTCCGGCCTGTGTCCGGCTCTGCTTTGCTGCGCCTTGTAGCGCCTCGGGTGGGGACCATCTACTAGGACAGAGAGAGCCAGGTGGGGGTGGGCGAGAGAAGCAGAGCCTCCACCCTCTCCCCACACCCGCAGGGGGGCCAGGGCGGGGTTGCAGAGACTGGTCCGAAGCGGGGTTCTCAGGCCTCCACTGAGTGGTGGGAAACTGACCAGGAGTGAGGCAGGGCGGGCAACAGCAGCAACAGCTCCCCTCCCCTGCGGAGAGAGGAGGGAGCAGGAGCGCAGGAACCAGGCCCAGAGGCCGAGCCAGCCTGGGCAGCCGGCTGGACGCTGGGATGGGCAGAGGGCTCCCACCTCTCCAGGGCCAGTCCCTGCCCTGCACCGGCAGTCGGCGGCCGCCCTCGCGTGCAGTACCTGGGGCTGAGGGCAGGGGGCAGTGTATGCACAACGCACAGGGCCCACGAGCTATTTTCTCTAGCTGCCAATTAGCAGCTGAGGACTGGGTGGGAAAGCGCTTCCGACACACCCAGCCTGGCCTCCCACGGCCACCGCAGCCAGGTCTCACACAATCCTGCTTTGGGTCACCTGAGGAGCAGCCGATGCCCAGCCGGCAAGCACAGAAGTGTGCAATATATTTCTTTAAAGATGTATTTATTGATGCACACAAGAACTAGGGTACAGCTCAGAGGTGGGGGTGGGAGGATTCACCAGAGACAGAGTGGGGGGCAGAACAGGCAGAT